TAAAGGAAGGTAGAAGGCCCCAAATATGTTCTTTTTTTTTTTTTTTTTTTTTTTTTTTTTTTTTAGCAGAAAGGGGTTGACATGATCACATCCATGGTTTTAAATGAACTGAAAAAAGGCATCCAGCACTACTTGGGCCACATTTATTTCAGTGCTGTGTTGTCTTCCCTAGGTCATCTTGCAAGATAAGATTGTCACCTGGCAATATCTGGAGCTTGACCCAATTTTAATGCTAATCCTACCTAATTGTAACAATCGCTGTGACTCCCCTAACATTCTTCTGCAATCTTTTTATAACTTACACGTTTAGTCGCCAAAACAAATGTCATTAGTCAGCTTTTTTTTTGTATGAAGGATTGTTTGTTCTCTCCTTGTTAATGTGCATGATTAATCTAGAGCAGGTCCCATCACTTAAGGAGCTTGAAGCCTCCTAGCCTATATGAAGATAGAAATAAGGATATGAATTCATTTCCAACCGAGACACAGAGACGTGAATGAAAACATGTGAACTCAGATCCCCTGAGTGCCCAGCCAGAGCACTGATTTCAACTTCTTCATCTAACCCTGCCTCTGAAGCATTAAAATGTTCTCCCAAACCACTGGGTGTCTTGTGGGTTCTGGGCGTTTTGTACATTTCAGCCATGCTAACCACAAATATTGATTTTTCTATGAATTCTTTGAAGATGACTGAGTCGGATACTCCAAAGTAGAGCCAAAAGGTCTCAGACTTTTAATGTACTTGCTGAGCATTGAAATTAAAATGTTTGCACACTTCCATTTGTACTAGCAAAGTCCTACATAAATATGCATTAAAACGTGTCCTAAGAAAAGCTGTCTGACTGCTTGTTCATGTGAAATCAGAACGTGGAAATCTGTACCTTTACATTCTCAAATCATTCTAAAAAGACAGGACTCCCCACAGGGGAGCTCACAGAAGCCTGGTTTCCTAACTGAGGAGCTGAGTCTGGGGTCTATGGAAAGATCTGTGTTAGCCTCCTAGAAAACTATTCTGCGGATGATCAGAAATACAGACAAATGTAGGTGACAATGGTGGCTCTGCATTTGCATTTTATTTCTGTGTTCTCAACAGTATCAAGATGATACTTTTATTTAAAACCACAGCCTGCAACTGAAACACACACTACATTGTAGTCAGGTGAAGTGACCAAACATTCACCATTTTAAAGACAGTCTTTCCTCTATGGGCTTATGTTTGTTCCCTGTTGTATAGCCTGTTTCATTAGGGGAAAAGGAGTCACTCAATGTCCAATGTATGGCTGAAAACGAAAAGGAAATTTAAAAAAAGAATAAAAAAGGAAGAGAGAATGGGAATTCTCTCTGCCCTCACCTCCCCATGCAGCAGAAAAGCTTGTGGTGGTGTACAGACTCTAGGGGGTAACCTAAATACCGCACAGATAGATGCATTAACCTACAAAAGAGGAAGGTTAACAAGAGATAATTGGTTGTTCATTTGCCATTTATTGTTCAGCACATCTCATGAGCACCAGGTGGCGATGTCCTCCCACAGAGCAACACCAAGGACTTCAAAACACACCAGTTACAAACAGAACAATTTACAGTAGGACATTCACCTGCCCTCTCCCAGAAATTCCACCCCCCACCTCCAATGTTGGCAACCAGACATGGACAAAGGTCAAGGGTTCTTTCTTGTACCATACAAGCCTTCCCCCAATCTTCTCATGCACACAACAGTGCAATACCAGGAAATACCAGGACGAGTTCTTCAGACCAAGTATAAAACCACAGAAAGTCCAAATTTTACAAAAAGAGGAAGAGAAAGAGAACACAAAGGCACAGGCAACCACGGATGCACGACTAACCTTTGAAGGGATGAGCATGTGACAAGGTTTGTCTCCAATCCCATTTGTCATCCTTGGAGACTCAGGAAGGGAGAAGCGAGGCAGCTGGTGCTAAGACCATGGAAAGAAAGGCATGAATCCCCTGTTTGGGCCAGGGGGGCCACAACAGGGCTTCTGGTGGGAAAACACCCCCTGTCAAAGTGGTGGACGCACAGGGCTCTGCTGGCAGGTTCTCTCTGAAAGAAAGACTGTGCCTTTCTAGGCTGGCACAAGAGAGCAGGCAAACGAATGCCCCCTGCCTCACTTGACACAGCGCTAGGAAGGAAGTTCAAGATCCCTTCTGCCCAGGAAGTCCCGCAAGAGCAGCATGAGGATGAGGTAGCCCCTGTGGGAATCCTCAGAGAGGAAGAGAAATGGGCCACAGACAAATCAAATCCTAGGGGCAAAGGCTTGAAGGTATGAGGACTAACTCTCAAAGTGGTATTGCCACTAACACAGTAACTCCCTTACCCATCCCTCTTGCTTCGACTGCTGGGCACCCCCCTGCTCCACCTATACTTCCTTCAGGGAAACCAGTCTCTGTCCATGGCCCATTTTCAGTTGCCAAAGAACGTCTTCTTTTCTTCCCTACCTCCTGCTGCCTCGCTATATTTTTCCATCACAGCCCCTCCGTCTGTCTCTTCATCCCGATGGCGGGAGAAGCTCAGCAGATACATGGCGAGGGTACTGCAGGCAGAGCTAGGACTAAGCCTACAATGAAGCTCTCTAACAATCTCTAATATTATTGCCAAGTGGCAACCTGGCAAAGGTCATGGGGTGTGACATTATGCATCACAAGGAAGGCTCTTCCATTAGTTCAGATGTTTCCTTCCTGCCTGTGGCGGGAAACTGCCCCATGGTGCAATAAACTCAGGACTCGTGGTCTGCTGGTGAGATATTGTAAAATGACTGCCAGTTTATAGGAGAGACTGGGACTAAGATGGCAGGAACCATTCCTCTCCTCAGAGTGCCCTCTGGTGGAACCAGTTAACATCGCTGGAGTCATTTAGAAAGGCTCAGCTCCAGCCTATCCCAATACGGGGTGACACTCAGGTGAATCCACTGGCCACACTACTGTCAACATGGGCTATGAGCCTAACAGCAAGCGGCTATGCAGCTGACTCTAGACAGCTTGACCTCCAGTTCTAACTTAAGTACCATTTTGAAGTATCTTTTATTTCAGTTTTTCTAGCATCAAAAACCTTCCAAATATTATGAAATATATATGCATATATATACGTCAAAACCCCCAAAACTTGAGGTATATAACTTCAAATTAGTATCCAGAGGAATTTCCCCAAAAAACATAGTTCAAAGAACCCACTTTCAAAGGGGGAATTGGGTTTCCCTTCTTGATCCCCCCTTCTCTCCACCCTGACTCCCAATTCTTTCCTTAATGGGAGTTATAGGCAAGACAAATGTGGGGGAAAAGATAGACAGGGTCTTAGGACATAACCCAGATGCAGGTTGGACAAGACCATGTGGGCCCAACCTTGCTAGGAATGAGTTAAAGAGGCTCTTTCTATGCTTTAACGTCAATCTGTAATAGATGAGGGAGATGAAGGCCCCTCCCCCCCACCTCTGAACTCTCGTTAGCAAATATGCATGGAGACAGATGGAAGCCCTCAGAAGAACAAGGCTTGGTGGAGACTGACTCTGTGCCAATCTTGAGAAGAAATATGAAATTGGTCAGTCCAGCCCTCACCTCATCATCTCTCCCCAAGCTCAGTTCCATCTCTATCAGGGTCTATGTTTTCTATGGGATGGGGTGGCAAAAGGTAAAGAAAATCAAGCGATCACAACCTGGCTGTTTGATTCCCATTGGACCTGGGGTTTGGCAACTTGCAAAATAGAGTACAGGGATGCTAATGGGACTCTCCCCCAGCCTGGCCCAGTGATGCGCACACGCCAACACACACACATGCACATACACAGATGGCAGAGAGCCCAGGGTGGGCTCTATTCACAGTGACCTGATGAAACTCATGGAATCTTTGAGTTGGTTTGGGATGAGTTGGGAAGGCTATGGGCTCCTCTCCCTGAGGATGGTTCAGACACTCAGTGGGATGCAGGCTCTGGTTGGATCAGAGAGGGGATGGAAACAGCATCATGAGATGCCACCCCTGAGAGGAATCCCAGAGTCTGTCCATCCACATGAGAGAACCAGATGCCTCTTTGGACAGGTCAAAGGTGTGAGGAGGAGAGGGCCCAGAGAAGCCACAGACTAGGGTGAGAGCTGAACATGCTCCTGGAGGCTTTGCCTCTCTGACCCTCTCGGCAAGAAGTGCTCCCTCGCTCTACACCGAGGCATCCGATTTCTGACGTCACAGCAGTTTAGCGGGTCACCCCTTTGCCCCCCAACCTTGCACAGTGAGAGCTCCCTGCCTCCAGCAGAGGAGAGAAAAGTGGAAACTCCACTCTCTAAGCAGAGTGGAAGCAGCAAGAAGCCAGCTGAGGTAAGGAACCTCGGGCTTCACAAGGCCAGGGTATGGCGTGCCCATGCACTGCCCATACCCGAAGTGTGCTGATCATGCTCCCTGCTCAGGGGGTGGGGAGCAGGAGGAGGTTCTTGCCTACCCAGCACCGAAAACTCCATGGGACCAGACCCAGGCTGGCCCTCATCCCATGACCCCTCTGTATTGGATGAGGTTTATGAGTGATATCACCTTGTTTAATCTTGCTCTCCACTGTGGCTGGGAGGGAAAGGAGTGGAGACCAGATAGGAGGGGAGATGACGGAGTAGAGAAGGTATAGCTTCCACCTTGACCCTCCCCACTTCCTGCCCTAGGGCTCCCACGGCCCCTCCAGCCTCCAAGCCCCTCTAGCCTCAGTCCTTCTCCTGGGTAGTGCTGTCTTCAGAGATGCCCTGGGCAGCCAGTTCGGCCAGCACATTATCCAGGTAATTGGCATCTGGGTAGCCATGGCCAGTGAGATTAGAGCCAAACTCTGTCTTGTGATGGACCTCATTCCAGATGACAGTATCTGACTCGCCCGTGGTGCTGGAGGTACCGATGGCAAAGATGAGGCGGCGATCCCAGGCCACGAGCAGCAGCTTCAGAACCTAGAGGAACAAAGGCAGAAGGTCAAAGGCAAATACTGGTCAGAGACTACCCTTGGATGGTACAGAGTCCTCCCCAGGGTCTCCCTTTCCCACAACATGATGCCCTGAGAGCACCGTGGAGGGGGAAGAGATTTGAACAACGCTGTGACCTTGGACAAGTCAGCACCTCTCTGAGCTTTAACTTCCTCATTTGTGAAATGGCAATGGTACAATCTGCCTCCAGATTGTGGATGTTTTATGGGACACTACCTAAAAAGCATTTTCATTCCAATGCCTGGAACATACTATTCAGCACACACTGGCTACCAACACACGGCTGCATTTTGAAAGATAAGATCTAGGAGACGAAGGTGCGTATGATCTAAGAATTCGTGAAACTCTACCCTCCACTGCCACCACCAACTCAAACTGGCAGTCATTTGCCCATCATTAAAACTGTGAAGTATTTCTCTAGTGACATTTTGAAACACTTTGACCTCTTCCAGGTTATTTATTTCATATTTATTTGCTCATCTGGTCATCACAATTACACTTGGTGCCCAATAAGCACATACTCTTATTGTCCTTATTCTACAAGTGAGGAAACTGAGGTCCAGAGAATGTGTGGGGGTACGCAGAATGTTCTAATTTAGCACGATTGAAATAAAATCTCTGCTGAGCAAGACTAACGCCCAAAGCTTCATTTCAGACCTTGTTAGATGAGTGTCCGACGTGAAGAAGGCACGTGATAATAATGTCTTGGGTTCAAACTGAACATGGTATGGGCTGGAGATGGGGAAGTCATAAGAGTAACAATAATAATACATTGAAAATATGAGCTGCAGAGCCAGCAGGTGGCATGGTGGTTGGGATGCTGGACTCCCACATGGCTGACCAGGGTTCAAATCCTGGACCTAGCACCTTGCTTTCTCACTCTCTCTCTCTCTCTCTCTTTCTCTCTCTGGTGAGTACACATGCTCTGTAACAAATTTAAATAATAATAAAAATGATAAATAAAACTAAATAAATAATAATTTAAAAAATTAGCTGCCATTTCCTGAGTGTTTATTTTCTAAGAGCAGGGTATTAGGTCACTTAATGGTTACAATCATTGGAATGAGGAATACTCTCTTTATCTTCTTTTTTTGTAGACAAAGAAACAGAGACTCAGATGATAAAAGGCTTGCTTTCGTCATAGAATAACTACTAAGTGGCATGGGAGTCGGGGGGTGGCTTGACTTCAGGACTAACAGACTCCAGAGCCCTTTGTCTGAATCATTCCTCTCTTGATTCTCAGATGGAGATCAGTATAGATTTCATGGAGGAGGCTACTTCTGAGTCAAGTCTTGGAGGGGGGAATTTGAGGTGTAGCATAAAGAAGAATGTGCAGGCATAGTAAATAATTATGAGCCTAAGGCATGGATAATTACAATAATAGCTGCCACCATAGTGTGTATTTTCAAAATGTTATTCATGATTCCTGTGACATCCTGTACACACAAATGGAAATGACTATCAAGAGATGGTGTGTGTGTTTGGCAGAGAGACAGAGACAGAGGAAGAAGAGCAAGTACCTCTCATGGGGAATGGTCACACTACGATCCCTTCTCTATCCCTCCCTTATAAGACTTTAAACATGTACACATATGCACGTAGTATGTTTCTCAAACTGCCAGGTCTGGGACTCAAACTGCACAGTCTGCCATGTAAGATGCAGGTGCCTTAACCACCAAGCCATGGAGCCAGTCTCACCACCACTGTTTTACAGATTAAGAAACAGATCTACAGACACGAACCTTTATGTCAATTCCTGCAGCTGGTAAATGGCAAAACCAGGACTTAAATCCAGGCCAAACTGACTCTAAAGCTCATGCCCTTATTATACTTCTCTGTGCAATAAAGCCTAAAATTGGGGTCCTAGAACAGAAGACAAGAAGGGAAAGTGTGGGGAGTAGTGAGAGAGCCTAGTTTAAACCCACTCTGTAGTAGAGTTTCTATATCAAGCTGAAAAGAATACACTTCATAAAGAAGGAAGGAAAAGCCATTGGAAAAAACAATGTGTGTTGCTTTTTACTTTTTTTTTTTAACAAAGGAGATTGATGCTAGAAATTGTGCTTTGAGATAACTGACCTAGTGACAGGTAAAAGATCAGAGAGCATTAACTAGGTTGGTAGCAGCAATATTAGGAAAGAAGTGAAGTGGTCTGAACAGCAATATAGGGAGAAATGGCTGAAGGAATGTTATGGATAAGGTGAGGGTCTAAGATGGTAAATATATCCAGTCTGAGTACCTAAGATTGTGTCAGTAACATAAAGAGAAAGGCCTGGGCCAATCTTGTATTGCAGTGGTTAAGCACTGTGCAGAAAGAGCTGGATCCCACAGGACTGACCATAGTTCACATCCCAGTCTCAGAAGCAAAACGCTGGGCGCAAGTACACATGTGCCCAGGATCCTGACACAGTGGAAGAAAAAGGATTGAGACATGAGCAGGTTCCATTGGAGATTTTTGTTTTTCATTTTGTTTTGTTTTGTTTTGTTTTCCTTTCTTTATTTCTCTCTGGTATAAGAAAACAAACAAAGAAATAAAGTGGAGGCCTGGAAGAAAAGCAGCTCTTGGCAATATGATTCTAATTTTAGCAGTGACATTTGACAGTGGAGATATTTAGCCTATGTTTGGAATGTTAGGATGTAAATCTCAGGCTCAGACAGAGAAATCTAGTTCTTCAAGGCAAACAGGTATCAGGGCTGGTTGTGACTCTTAATCTAGAGACACTGAACACACATCTTCATGTTGTGGTTGATTCTGTCATTGTTCCAAACTCTGTGCTGCCCCCCTGTAAGAAGAGAGGATGTCTACACTCTTTGCCATGAGATCTGAGAGGCTCCTGGTAGACAGTTCATTGCCTGATCCCTTCTCTGGCTTACTCATGACTTATAAGCTTCCTGGAGCTCTAGATGGGATGATCAAACTTCTTTTGATTCCCTCTTGGTCTTCTGCTCCCTTCTACGGGAAGGGCACAGACCAGCGAAGGGTTGTTCCTTCACTTGCTCCAGAATGGGAAGAGGCATGGAGCAAACTAAAGCTGACTGCAGTGATCTGAATGTTTGTTCGTCCACATTCATGTTGAAACTCTACACCCAATGAGATGACACTAGAAGGTGGGACCTTAGGAGTGAGGTCATGGAGCAGAACCCCAATGAATATGATTAATGCTCTTATAAAAGAAGCCCGAGAGAGTCTTTGCCCCTTCTTCCATGTGAGAACACAACTAGAAGTCACCATCAAGCAATCACAAAGTGGACCATCACCAGAACTGAGTCTGACGGTGCCTTGATCTTAGACTCCTCAACCTTCAGAATGGTAAGAAATAAATTTCCATGGTTTATAAGATACCCAGTCTATGTTATTTTGTTATAGCAGCAGGAACAGATTGACCCTGACCCACAGCAACATTAGAGCCACTGCCACTGATAGGCAAAGTGCATGAAAAATAAACATCTATTGAAGTAACTCAGTGTGATTTGGAGACACGACGAAACAACACAACTCTTGTTCAACATTTTCCTTTCGATGAATGGCTCTTATTCCTTTTGAGACCAGGAAACATTATGAAAAATCCAATAATCTTATGGCTCCATCCACAGAAAAACAAACATAACATTCTTATTCTCATTTTAAAGTTCACAGAACCACTGAAGCCTGATCATGAATCACTCAGAATCCAGAAGCCCAAAGATTGTTCTCTCTGTCCTTTATGAACAAAGTCAAAGAACGTCGATGTAAATTAAAAGAAAACGATCTCCCACGAATTAAGATCCCTGCCTCCTGGCAGTACTTCTCAAGCCTGAGTGTGTTGCCAGATCAGCCAGGGATCTTATTAAAATGAAGTTGGTTTCAGTTGTACAATAGGCAGTTAGGTAGTACAGGATCCTAAATAGATGAATCATAGCCAATAATATCCAGGAGAGGAAAAAAAAACAACATTCAAATCACATCCACCCTTACCTGTGGTTGATTCAAATGTTGCTTCGTTACCACATGCATCTAGCGTTAAAAAGAGACCCATCATAGGAAGCAACACTTTGGGCCTTGACGAGGTAGGAAAACCCCCAGCCCCACTCTGAAACCTCTGTCCTTACTTTTCTCCCTTTCTCGCTGTCTGGAAGATAACAGTGTCGTGGGAAGCCACGGGCGCTGAAACTCTTCCCAGGATTTGGGTGTTCTGGACCCTGAAAGCAGAAAGAAAGAAAGAAAACAAAGGGCATTTTTGGAAAGATTTCTGATGTGAAGAGATACAAGCTGTGACTAATTTAACTAATGATGGCAGTAATAATGGTCATAAAGCCCAGACAAGGAAAAGAGCAAAGCAGCAGTGAGTGAGCACTGAACACGTGTGCTTTAGTGTCCTCTCCTTGACCTGGGTGTAGACACAGAGCTGCTACCTCCCAGCCATATTAGCTGGAGCCCTCTTGAGGCTTAGGTTCCCCATCTCTTTAACAAGGAATGACATGGAAATACTCACCTGGTAGGACTGTTATGAATGTCAGCTGAGTGTGCTGCCCGGCCTGTAGTAAGAGCTCAGTAAATGCTCATCAGCATCATCCCCTATTTTATAAAATGCTTCCATAATGTTAGTGGCTTTGCTAACACGTACGCCCAGGTTTCCTCAGGCACACTCTGGATTTTTCACTTCCAAACTACCGCCAACAATGAAAGTACCTCAGAGCCATGCAATCAGAATTTTCTGAATGATTCTTGTGGACTTTTTCCTTTGATCCATAGGTTTCTGTTTGTTTTCTTATTTAACTACATGAATTGGGGTATTCAGGACTAAAAATCTTCTAACAGTATTTCAACGATTATTATTAAGACTCTGTTAAGCAAGAAATCTCAAGCCAATAGGTGGGAAATACACTGAAGAAGAATTGAGTCAGAATCTGGATTCTTTAATCATGGCCCAGAATGAGGCCATAGGGCCCTTTCAGAAGCTCAAGAAAAATGGATTTTCTCCCAGTTACAATGCACATATTTCTTCCCCACACAAGTGTTTATCTAAAATTTCTAAATATCTCTGAGCTCCTCCTTACATAAAAACCTCTTCTAGATATAAACATATAACCAGTGTAATTTTTTTTTTTTTCTGAGAGATGTTTTGCTATAGGGTAAGTGCACTCGCTGGAGAGAGAGAGATAGAAAGTGAAAATATCAGCCCCAGGGAGGATGGCCATACTGCAATCCCTTGTCTTCCATTCTCCTCTCAGGATTTTGGGCAAGCTGGTGGGTCCAGAACTTGAACCATGGTCAACCACATGGGAGCCCAGCGCCTTGACCACTACTCCATGGACTGGTAGCACTAGTGTAAAACTGATAATTCCATGTAGTGGTTGGCACAGTCTCTCACATAGATCATTAGTAAATGTCCTGGCCACATAAATGAATGAGTACATGAATGAACGAATAAATGACAAAACTGCAAGAAAACACAGATTTTTCAATTCTTCTTATAGAAAATGACTTCACAATAAGTAAAAATTCTGTGGTTTTATTTATTGATTTTTTTTAAAACTACCATGGTTGAAGATCACCTCCAATTTGGCCAACTGAACGGTGTACGTGCAAGGGGATCTCAGAGAAGGGAAAGGTCACTGTGAGCTAAAGAAGTAACAATGTCTTCTTGGAGATGCAGGATTTGACAGAAATTTCATATTCATAATTTCACATTCATACAAATTTATAACATTCTTATGACCACGGCTGGGGCTAAGCCAGGTGACCTGACAGAAGGGTCAGTTTCAATCACAGCTCTGAATGCTCCTCTCCTGTCTGGGACTGCTGCTCCTGTGGCCAGCTCAGTCTGCCTGGCACTGACCCAGCAAGGCTGTGTGCTTCCAGCCTGTCGCTAACTGGGGCAGTCACGACTCTGCTTTAGCCCAGCCTGGAGTTTCTCCCCAGGGAATCACTATCTGCAGTGAAGGCAGAGCTGGAAGGTCTCAACTCCTCACAGAAGCCTAAGTCAGTAGTTACTGAAGTCCTGAAATTCGTGGTATTAAGCATTCTGCTACTGACCCTCGAGGGTTAAGTGTACAAAGCAGTTCCGCAGACTGCAGAGAGTTGTGCTTCCCTTGACAAGCTTGGGTTTTCCTGGAGAAGCTGGGACATCTGCAGAGACAGCAAGCAGCTACCTGTATACCTATTACAGACTCTCTGTTCTTTAATTCTGGAGCTGAAAAATGTAGCCTCTCCCCATGCTGGGAATGGTTGTCCCGCCATGATCTTGGCCCACTGCGGTCTGCTGTGCTTCACAACAAGGCCATCAGTTGTTCTCCTGACTCTTACTTTCATTCATGTTCTATCACCCCGACTGGTGATTTCAGAACCATTCTAGAAATCTCACCAGCCCCCTACCCTCACTTATAACCATATCTCACTCTCCCTTACCCTGGCTCTTTCCTTGTTCAGAACCCATTACCAGAGCCCAACTGCAGTGGTCTCCTAATTGGTCTTTCCTCTGCTCATCCTCCACTCTTTTGACAGTCCTTCCTGTAGCACTATCCCAATCACATGATATCCCATAATCCTAATCACATGCTGACACTCAAGGCCCTGTACAATCTGGCTGCAGCCTCCCTCACTACCAAGTCTTCTCTGTCTCCTTCGTGTTCCCTCCTTCTACCTCCTTTGCTAGTTTAGGGCTTCAAATTAAACTTGCCCTTATTCCCCTTCAACACCTCGCTTTCTTTTCTCTATAACGCTATTACGTACTTCCACTAAAAATGTTTTGCTCCATTTCTTTGTGTCTTTCAAGTCTCACCTAGAGAGTGCCCTACACCAGAATGTCTCCACTGACTCTCCTAGACAGAAAGACATAGCCCTTCTTATCATAACAGGTAGGAGACTCAGCTCATGATGGCGCCCAGATATCAAGCACTGCAGTGCTGGGCCTGGTGCCCCTGAACATAGACAAAGATTATCTCCCATTCTCAATTCCTGCATGTTAGGTTCTTGGGTGTACAGGTGAAGAAAACAAGCTCAGAAAGGTCTAAAAGTCACCAACTAAAAACGACTCAGTCAGAAGCCCAGGTTCGCTAGACTTGGATGGCTTATGTTTCCACATTGTCAACATGCCTGTCATAGCTTTTATCAATGGTGTCTATCATTTTTTTTAATTGCTTAATTAGTGATAGCTATTTATCTTTCCTTGATTGATTGGTAAGTCCCAGGAAGACTGTTTAATCAATTTTTATGGGCTATCACACGTCCCTGTTTTATCTCCTCACATCACTTATCACTATTTGGATGTACAGTAGTCCCCCTTTATCCAAAAGGGATACATTTCAAGACCCCCAGTGGATGCCTAAAACTTCAGAGAGTACTAGAATTTATATATATTAAAATTATTTCCATATATACATACCTATGATAAAGTTTCACTTACAAATTAGGTTCAGTAAGTGGTTAAAAACAGCATTAAATAATAAAATAGAATAATTTCTAGTGTAACTATATATATACTGTAATATACTGTAATAAAATTCACATAAATGGAGTTTCTCTCTCAAAATATCTTATGCTACTATACTTCCTGTTTTCAGACTATAGCTGACTATGAGTAACTGAAACCATGAAATGTGAAACCACAGGTAAAGAAGGAATACTGTGCCTTATTTATTATTTGTTGCCTTTATTGCCTTTCTGGCCCCACTAGATCTGGGACTTCAGGGACAAACACTGTGTCTGTTTTGTTCAGCATTGTTTCTCTAGCACCCAGAATATGCCTGGACCATAAGCTATGTTCAAACATTTATTAAATAAAAGACAAATAGGAGAAGACAAGTATGAGGGAGGAAAACAGGGTGAACTAATAAATATTTGCTATAGAAACGAATCCAGGAAGCACCCTAGAACACTTAACAAAAGCTTCCTGTGTGAAGTCAGGGCCACATTTGTATTCACGGTCAGGAATATTGTTCAAATTTGTTCCTTAGGACCGTCTTTCAAAGAATCAAAAGAGAAAAGAAATGTCCACGAAAATCAAAGGCAAGCGTAGCTATCAAATTACAAATGCAAATACTGTTTGACAAGGAAATTCCACTTCTAGAAAATTATTCTGCAGATTGACTCATATGTGTACAAGGGTATTCATAACAGCATTATTCATTGTAGCAAAAAGTTGGAAACAATCCATATGTCCATCAGTGGAGACTGTTGAATATAAATTAATGTACATGTACACAATGGATTATTATGCGGGCATAAGAAAGACTGAGAAACCTCTTTCTATACAGACATGGAAGGATGTATAGTTTGTATTGTTCATTAAAAAAATACAGGGTGCGGAACAATGTGCCTAAAATGTCACTCTTTGTGTAAAAATGGGAGGGGTGGAGGCAACCTCTATTCCATATATACAAAGAACCCTGGAAGTGTACATAAGAAAGGAAGAACAATAGTGGGGGAGAGGGAGGGCATGGGTAGGGTAAGATCTTTAGAGGGGGAGCAAGGGTGGGAAAGAGACTTCATAGTATAACATTCTACCTCCAGATTTCTAAACTAATAAAAACCAACAGCTGAGGGTGGACTCACCTGAATGCCAGGGGGGATGCTGTAGATGATCCGGATGGTCTTGCAGTCTGGGTGGCCAGGTAAGGAGTGGGGGATGAGGTGGTACTCCATCTTCCCTGGAGGCTGGGTACCTGTCTTCACTCCATAAATAGTCTTACAGGTTGGACACTGCAAACTCCCATCCTGAGGAGACAGGGCCAGAAGAGTCAGAGGAAATAGTTTGGGTAATCACTTCCCTAGTCGACCCCAAAAGGGTACCATAGAGAGACTAGGACCAGGGAGACAAAAATGCACCCAAATGAATATTAGATCTTAGTTTCCTCCTGCCCCAACCCCTACTACTATCTAGGCTGTTTCTCCTTGTTCTTTATGTTGTGTTGTTTTAAAGTTTATCTACTTCTTTTTTCCATAAGCAAGAGAAACACAGATATGCACTCACAACAGAATGGCCACGCTACAATCTACCCCCCTTTTCAGCATGCCTGGCATGTTCAGGGACTTCTCCAGATGAGAAGCTGGAACCTTCCCATGTGGGTCAGCCTTGCAGAGCTGCATCACCACTATGCCGCCATCCAGCTCCCATGTAGCCGACTTCTGCTCTCTCCAAAGTAACAGGAAGTACATTCCACAAATAGCCCCATGCTCTGTGCTGAGGGACATGAAAAAGAAGCCCCTATTCTTATGGAAAAGACTAGCTCACCATGGCAGGGAGCGTACACCATGGAATCATCATTTAACAAGTACCAAATGGGAACAGACAGCGAGCACTGGAGAACGGCAATTGTCAATTGTTCCACCTCAGATTCAACTAGGGATCTTAAAAGTAAAGGTGCCTGGACCTCTCACCAGGTCCACTGTATCAGAACTGGGAAGTTGCAAAGTGTACAAATGAATATTAGATCTTAGTTTCCTCCTGCCCCAACCCCTACTACTATCTAGGCTGTTTCTCCTTGTTCTTTATGTTGTGTTGTTTTAAAGTTTATCTACTTCTTTTTTCCATAAGCAAGAGAAACACAGATATGCACTCACAACAGAATGGCCACGCTACAATCTACCCCCCTTTTCAGCATGCCTGGCATGTTCAGGGACTTCTCCAGATGAGAAGCTGGAACCTTCCCATGTGGGTCAGCCTTGCAGAGCTGCATCACCACTATGCCGCCATCCAGCTCCCATGTAGCCGACTTCTGCTCTCTCCAAAGTAACAGGAAGTACATTCCACAAATAGCCCCATGCTCTGTGCTGAGGGACATGAAAAAGAAGCCCCTATTCTTATGGAAAAGACTAGCTCACCATGGCAGGGAGCGTACACCATGGAATCATCATTTAACAAGTACCAAATGGGAACAGACAGCGAGCACTGGAGAACGGCAATTGTCAATTGTTCCACCTCAGATTCAACTAGGGATCTTAAAAGTAAAGGTGCCTGGACCTCTCACCAGGTCCACTGTATCAGAACTGGGAAGTTGCAAAGTGTATGTGTTCAGACTGTGAACTCTGAAGTCCAGTTGCCTGAATTTGATTGTTGCCTCTGTCATCTATCTGTTGTCTGACCTTAGACAAATTGAACAGCCTCTCTGAGTCTCAGTTTTCTTATTGGACAAGGAAAATAGGAATATCTGTGTCACTAGATTATTGGAAGGATCAATAAAATAATCCATTCAACTAGTTCAGCATGTGGTGTAGTTACATGTTATTCATGTTTTTATGATTTCCATGGAGAGATGAATGCTCCTCGAGGTCTGGAAAGCACTGCTATGAAAAGAGGAATTGAGCACTGTGTATGCTGGAGTAAGTGAGTTTTCCTGTCTTTTTTTGGAGAGCTTTTTGCTATAGGGCATGTGTGCTCACCAGAAAGACAGAGAGAGACAGAGAGACAGAAAGAAAGAAATCACCCTCCAGGGGGGATGGCCACACCGCAATCCCTTCTCCTCCATTCTCCTCTCAGGATTTTGGGCACGCACGCACACATGCCCAGTGTGAGTTTAAGCCACCTGGTCCGGGACTCGAACTGCAGTCGACTACATGGGAGGAGTCCAGTGACATAGCCATTATGCTAACTGCTGGTCCCTGGAGAAAATGAGTTTTGAATTAGCTATAGGTTGCATGTGCTCACTGGAGAGAGACACAAAGAAACTGAGAAATCACCCCTGGGGTGGGGGGGGATGCCACAACAGTCTTTTCTCCATTCTCCTCTCAGGATTTGGGGCATGCACGCGTAGGCGCTCAGTGTGATTTTTAAGCTACTGGGTCCAGGACTCAAACCATTAAGTGGTCATGTGGGATCTAGCCACCTCCACCTCTGTACCACCTTCTGGCCCAATAAAGGTGACTTTAAGAGAGAAGAGTTAGGGACCAGCAGTTAGCGTAATGACTATGTTGCTGGCCGCCCATGCAGTTGACTGCAGTTCGAGTCCTGGACCTGATGGCTCAAACTCACGCCGGGCATGTGTGCGTACGTCCCCAAGATCCTGAGAGAAGAATGGAGGAGAAGGGATTGCAGCGTGGTCATCCCCCCTGGGGATGTGATTTCTCGCTTTCTGTCTCTCTGTCTCTCTGTCTCTTTCTGTCTTTCTGGTGAGTGCATGTGCCTATAGCAAAAACCTCTCCAAATAAATAAATAAATAAATAAATAAATAAATAAATAAAAGAGAGAGAGAGAGAGAGCACGTGAGAGAAGAGGTAAGTTCAGCATAAATAACTAGAGGAGGAAATTATGTCACTAATTATATAAATAGTTTTAAAAATCTTATAATGAAGTTAACAATGTTGGTTTTATTTAGCTAGCAACTTCTGAACTGACTGGGAAGGAATTATTAGCTCCCTTTTCTAAAGGAGAGGAGAGAGGGCACAGCAAGATTAAAAGACTTGCTGCTTGTCAGGGCTAAGACTCCACCGGGTCTGCCTACACCCACAGACCTTACACTGCACTTTAGTATCTCTGTGAGTGGGCAGGGGGGTCCTGGATACGGTGACAGAAGAGGTCATGGTTTCACAGCAGGGCCTGGTGAGCTGTCACCAGAGAGGCAGAAGGGAGCGTGAGGGGTGGAGGGAGTGCAGAGGAGGTTTGCACAGCAGATCCTCTTCTCAGGCTTGCAAAAAAGGAGAAGGAAGGCGTGTATGTGCAGGAAGCAATGTGTGTAAGATGTGCACAGCTGGGACTGAAGCTCTCTAGGACATCTCTTCTCTTCTGGAAGATGGGGATCCTCTGCTGAGCTATTTAAAGACATTTCCATTCAAGCTCTATTCATTTAAAGGAGTAGCTTGTATTCCGGGTAACTACGCTCTAAAATCAGGCTTCCACTCTCTGCTCTGGCCTTAACTTGCTTCATGACCTTAGGTGAATCACTCCATTCCCTCTGGGCCCTTTTCTTCCATCCATTTAATGAAATAAAAACACGCTTCAAAGAATTAGTACAAAAGAGAATAAGGAATAGAGCCTTGAGAAACATTGTTTAAAGCAGCACGGGAATAAAATGAAAGCTTTACTAGATTATTCCTGAGTACAGGTATCAAAAAGGAACAAATGTGCTATGAAACGTCTTTAAACTCCAAGTAACCCCTTATAATACAAGGTCCCAATGAAGTTTTATAGCCTATGGTCTGGAAAGTGCACATGGGATCCAGACTTGTACCCTCCATCGGTGACTGAGCACAATCATGGGCCTGTGTCTCTGGGACACTGCGAAAGAGACCAAGGTCAGCACTGTGGGAATGTCAATTACATAGACTACATAAAGACAGAGGGAAAAAATTGTACCCATAATTTAAAAGACATATGAATGTAAGTAATAACAGTAATAACACCCTATAACGTAGATGTTGTTTTATCTGTTTTCTAGATAGACAATTAAATCTCAGAGAGGTGAAAACATCTTGCACCTAGAGCCAGCAGGTGGCATGGAGGTTAAGGTGCCAGATTCCCACATAGCTGACTGTGGTTCAAGTTCCAGACCTGGCCGCTTGCTTTCTCATTTTCTCTCTCTCTTTCTCTTGTGAGTGCATGTACCATGTAGCAAGTTAAATAATAATAATAATAAATAAAATAATAAAAATAAAATAAATAATTCTTAAAAAACAATTTTCCCCAAGGTCATTTAGCTACTAAGGCAAGATTTAGTCTTGGCTCTCCCACCTCTCTTGCCTCTACTATTTTCCACAACAGAAGAGGTACAGAGCAGTCCCTGAACTATAGACCTTATTTAGGATGAGTAAAAAAACTGGGGGATATCAGGGAAATCTTAGGCTCAGATACAATTCAAGTTGTGCTTAGAGAAATGAGTAAGGTTCAGGCTCATGAAGATGCAGAGTGAAGCTTTTTCCAGACACAGAACAGAACAGTAATGACTTAGCAAAAGCTGCAACACTGTAAGGACAAAAGAATCACTTACGGAGACTCAGATTCCTGAAGACCAGTTCTAATGGGTAAGCACCACCTCATTATCAGTTAATGAACAAGACAGCTATCACAGCCTTCCCGTCCTCCCACAGTGGGATTCTAGGGTAGGGATTACGAGGCATACTTCGGCAATAGTCCCAATTACCTTTGAAGGGACCATCATGAGTTCTTTGAAGCTGACTGAAAAAAAATAATTAGAACTGAAAATCAGTAGCCCTGGAGAAGGAAGTTGGCTGGGAAACCCATTTACACTGAAGTAAGGGAGCACTCGTTACAGGCCCAGTGCTATGATAGGAACTTCCTTCTCCCTCACTGATGTGGGCTCACTTTATCCAGCAATGGGCCATGATGATGGGCCACTTTCCTCAGAACCCTCAAAGACAAAAGCCCTCCCCTCTTAGACCAGCACACTTACAGTAGAGGTTGGGGCATTCATCTAAAGGGAAGGTGAAGACGGGTTCCGCCAACATTACGATTTTGTAGAGAACTGATCCTGCTGATAATTGCCAAAGATCACTATGCCTACTGCTTTGAGTTGCCTCTAAGACTTCTCGAATCACGTGGGCGAAGCCTGAGTAGGACTTGGATGACCTCACTCGGGCGGCACTAACCTTGTTCCCGTTGTTGTACATGGCGACCAGGCAGTAGATATGGTAGATGTGGCCGCACCTGGACAGCTTTCCCACCAGGTCAGGCTTGACCGTCGGCTGTGGGCCCTTGTAGCCGGAAGGGGCTGTGAGGCGCTCCATGCAGATGGTGCAGTCCTGAGGGCAGAAGAAGACAGAGCAGAGGGGCTGTCAGCTCTCACCAGCCTGGGAGGCCAGAGCACCTCCACAGTGATGAGCTGTTACTACTCCATTGCTCACTATGGGGACCATCCTGGGCATTTCAAGGTGTTTAGCAGCATCCCTTGTCTCTACCTACTAGATGCCAGTAGACTCTTCCCCCTCCAATCATGACAGTCAAAAATGTCTCCAGACATGGCCAGGCATTTCCTTGGAAACCAAAATGCCTCTGGTTGAAAATCACTGGTTTATATCAAACCAAATTTATAGTGAGTCCCCTGGCTTAGCATACTGCTTTCCTTAAGTTAAGACTGTCACATTAAGGTAGCTTACAATCAACCCACACTATGCTCAACAGGGAGATGGGAGAGGTTACGCTGTAGCTCCAGCTCCGGACCAGGAACCTTGGAGCCCAGGTGTCAGTTCTGACCACCTCTGTACCATTCAGGGCTTAAGAGCTCCCGGTACATCCTGCAGGAGATCACAGCAGAGGAAATTTTGGCGGGTGATGGAGAGGATGAACTCTGCCACACTCCCCTGCACTCACCTCTTCTGGTGGGTGCCGGACTTTCTGCAGATACTTCTTCAGCACTTCTTCTGGGGTTTTACCTGTGGGGACAGAAAGATCAGTGGGCCAGCCAGGCAGAAATAACAGATCCGAAACCTTTCCACACTGGGCATGCTGGGGTGTGTGTGTGTGGGGGAATATTAGCTAAATTTGAAGCAAAGGAAAGGGGCAGAATATATACTGCACTTGGTGATGGGAACTGGAAGGATATAAGTTGCAGATGAGTGAGAGAGGTGGGTTGAAGATGGTAGGGGTATTTACTTGCCTTGACCTCTTGCTGTCACTTCCCTGAGATCCACCTGCCTATTTTTAACAAACCCACTTTTTTATTAAGTTATTTATTTCCTTCACAAGTGGGAAAGAAAGCACACTCCCAACAGGTTTTGATGTCATGATCAACCTCCAGCTTAGCCGGCCTCCAATAAAACGGGCACACATGCCCAGTGTACTCTGGGAAGTCTCTGGTCATGAACCCAGAACCTTCCCATGTACAGAGCATTGCGTTTTTATCACTGCATTATATGTGGCCCTCCAAAACCTACTTTTAAACTGAGATAGGTTGAATGGGTTTCTCTTCCTTAGAGAGGAGCTTGACCCTGCCCAAACCATCTGATGAGATAATAAAAACGTAAGTACTTTGTAAACTGTTACACAAGAAATAAGCACGAGACAATCTTACTGCATTCGTTTTACAATTTGCTAAGTATTGTCCCCATTTATAATGTGGCATCAAAGGGAAATTGTTTTCATGGGAAACTAGGAAGGTACAACTCAGAGCTTCAGCACAGTCTTCCTTGGCCCTGGACAGTGCTGGCACTGCCAGCTGACACAACCCAGTGGCAGCAAAAGGGAGATGCTCTGGGAAGCATTCTGGCAGGCTGCAATGATCTGGAACTAGAACCTTAAGAGGTAGACCAACCTGAAGGTAGAGGATGTGCTAAACAGTCTTTCAAGGAGGCACAGAAGAAAAAAAAAAAAAAAAGGTGCCACCTTGGAATACATTTTTGACTTCTCTAAGCTTCTGTTTTATCATCTTTTATCAACTATAAAATGGAGAAGAGTAATAGCACCCCCTCAGGTGGTTGCTTTGACAATTAAATGGCACACAGTCCTTTAACACTTTGCCAGATACGGGCCCATACGTGCTATTAATAACAACAGGAAGAGTAGGAAAGTGTAAAATCCTGTCACTTCCTATCAGTCTATGAGCAAGGCAATTGAGCTCATTTAAGCAGGGAAATTTTGATGGACAGGAAAGCCAGGACAAGGGTTTAAGGAAGTGAATTGTGTAACAGCCAAACACTGGGATATAGGTCCTTCCCTCTCGCTATCTTTCATAAGAATTAAGCTTTCATTAATTGAGAGTCTATTGCTTCCCAGACCCTGGCTAAGTGCAATATACAGACGACCAAATTTAAACTTCACAAGAAGCTTGCAAAGTGAAGGTTTGGATGGGAGGATGACCAAATCATCTAGTAACCAATCCTGGTAACCAGAAAAACAAGCCACAGAGCTGAGCCAGGATCTTAGAGTGCCAGGAAGGTCAAGTATTGACCCCTTAGTTGCTAGATTGTGGGCAGGGAGGAAGAGGCTCCTGAAGGAGGGTTTGAGTGGCCAAAGTGTCTGGAGGCTCCAAAGATGATGGCTACTTCCCAATGGTCATGGACACATTCCAGGACATACTTGCCAGCGATTGGCTGTGAGTATTTTTACCCTATAATATAGATGGGAAAACAGAGATTCCGTGTAGTTGTAAGACTTGCAAGGGACAAAGTTAAAAATTGAATCTAGTCTGTTTTGATTTCGACAGCAAAGTGACCTTTCTCTTCTAACATAAGGTTCTTTGTAACACAATTTGCATTTTTAGGTTTCTATATTTGTTAAACAGTCTTTCAAGGAGGCAAAGAAAAAAAAAAAAAAAAAAAAGGTGCCACCTTGGAATACATTTTTGACTTCTCTAAGCTTCTGTTTTATCATCTTTTATCAACTATAAAATGGAGAAGAGTAATAGCACCCCCTCAGGTGGTTGCTTTGACAATTAAATGGCACACAGTCCTTTAACACTTTGCCAGATACGGGCCCATACGTGCTATTAATAACAACAGGAAGAGTAGGAAAGTGTAAAATCCTGTCACTTCCTATCAGTCTATGAGCAAGGCAATTGAGCTCATTTAAGCAGGGAAATTTTGATGGACAGGAAAGCCAGGACAAGGGTTTAAGGAAGTGAATTGTGTAACAGCCAAACACTGGGATATAGGTCCTTCCCTCTCGCTATCTTTCATAAGAATTAAGCTTTCATTAATTGAGAGTCTATTGCTTCCCAGACCCTGGCTAAGTGCAATATACAGACGACCAAATTTAAACTTCACAAGAAGCTTGCAAAGTGAAGGTTTGGATGGGAGGATGACCAAATCATCTAGTAACCAATCCTGGTAACCAGAAAAACAAGCCACAGAGCTGAGCCAGGATCTTAGAGTGCCAGGAAGGTCAAGTATTGACCCCTTAGTTGCTAGATTGTGGGCAGGGAGGAAGAGGCTCCTGAAGGAGGGTTTGAGTGGCCAAAGTGTCTGGAGGCTCCAAAGATGATGGCTACTTCCCAATGGTCATGGACACATTCCAGGACATACTTGCCAGCGATTGGCTGTGAGTATTTTTACCCTATAATATAGATGGGAAAACAGAGATTCCGTGTAGTTGTAAGACTTGCAAGGGACAAAGTTAAAAATTGAATCTAGTCTGTTTTGATTTCGACAGCAAAGTGACCTTTCTCTTCTAACATAAGGTTCTTTGTAACACAATTTGCATTTTTAGGTTTCTATATTTGTCACTGGTTCACTTATACTTCTCAAGGTGTTTCCATTTGACCCAGACCATCCACTTTGGTATAATCACTGAAATCTACTAGTTAGGCTCACTGAGCAGATGCAGAAATTAAGACACAGAGTGTTCAGCCAGGGCTATGACCCTTGATGAAGAAGGAGCAGTCAAATCTTTGACTCCCAGGATCCCATAAGATAAAGAAGCTGGTACCTTTCTTGGCTTGTTTTTTGGTGGTCTTTCGGCTTGTGTTGGAAACTCCTGGAATGGACTTTATTTCGCTCTTGCTGACGGGGGGAGGGTGGAGGACCAGCTTTGGTGGCCTAGTGAGACACACAGGCAGCCCCGCTGCACTCATGAGGATCCCAGTGATTCCTGGAAAGGACAGGGCATGGTGAGGAAGAACGGAGGAATGAGCTCCCAACACTCCCCAAATCCCCCTGCTCTCTCTACCTGCTCTCTTCCTTTCCAGAAGACCTCATGATTCACCAACTCACCACGCCACCCTCGACTTTTCCCAGAAATGTATTTATTCCCTCATCTTCAATAACATGCTTTACTCTTAGCTGTGATTCTCCCCCAAACTCTGCCTTTCCCATGCAATTCCAAAAAAATCTGTTTGTTTTATTAACATCCGAATTCCTTTTTATAAATGCTCACTACCTATTGTATCACTCTGGTTTTGTTTTGTTTTGCTTTTTACCTTAAGCAAGAGCAGCCCAGTATTTCTCTTACCTGCCAGGGCAGGATTGACAGGACTGGACCCATTTAAGTTCTTCACTGGGACAGTGGGGACCCTGTGGATGGATGAGCAAACGCATTATTGTGTTGACAAGTAGGACAAAATAGACCAGTATTTAACTCTAGAAAGATGAAGTAAGTTCTCTTTCTAAAAAAAAAAAAAAAAGTTAATGTTTTCAGCAGAAAAGCGAGAGGCATCCCAAACATGGTCTTCATTGTGGTCCACCCCAACCAGACCAAATCTTAGACACGTGCTCACATTGGGAGTATACAGGGAGGTCTTGGGATGTTAACCCAGGATCTTCCCTTGTGGGTCCAGCTATTTTACTGCAGTACCAACACTTGACCCCCAAGATGGAGTTCATCTTAACTCTGCAGCCGAAGATGATATCCTCAACACGTGCCAGACCACGTCACTCTTCCACTCAACCTCAGAACTCAGTGTGGGTCCTCATTTCACTCAGAATCAAAGTCGAAGACCCAGCAAGGCCTACTCAGCCCTGCATGGTCTGCCAATACCCTTCACCCATCCCCCCATCGCTGGCCTCTTCTCATACTGCAACTCTTTGCTCTAGTTGTTTGGCCTATAAACCAGACATCTCCTGCCTCAGGGCATTTACGTACGCTATTCTCTCTTTGACATGCTCTCCGGTCAGATAACCGCTTACACCCACCCCTCTTACAACCCCTCGGTCTTGTCTCAAACTGTACCTTCTCAGTGAGGTGTCCAAGACCATCATATTTAATACTACTACAAGCTCTTCCATCCCACATGGGACTACCAAACCTTCTTACCCTGCTCTAGTATTTTCTTCTTTTTTCTTCCCCTGGCACTTATAATCTTTTCTTATTTCCCCATTCCTCCACGAGCTTTGTTTATTTATTTATTTTAAAATTTGCTATAGGGTCTGTGTGCTCTCCAGAGACAGAGAAAAAAGATAAGACTGCACTCCCCTCCACCCCCAAGGGCTGAATGACCTACTTCAATTCCTTCCTTCTCCTCCAGTCTCCTTTTGGGACTTTGGGCATGCATGCATAGATGCCAGGTGTGTTTTTCAAGCCACATGGTGGGGGACTCCAATCACATAGTTAGCCATATGAGATCCTGCAGCCTTAAACACCATGCCATCTGGCTGTCCGGTACTTATAATCTTTTAAGTAAGTTGCTACTTATTATTTTCCTACCTAGAATTTAAACTCTGCAAGGGCAAATATCTTTGTCTGCTCTGTTCAGAACCTGGCAATATTTGTAGAAAGCAAAAAAGTAAAGGAGCAAGTTCAAAACTGCATTACCAAAGAATCACCTAAAATGTTTTCAGAAAGAAAGGGCCAGGGCCGGCAGGTAGTGTGGTGGTTAAAGGACACCAGACTTCCATAAGGCCAACCGTGGTTCAAGTCCTGGATCTCGAGGCTGGTTTTCTCGTTTTCCTTTTCTTTCTCTCTCACTCTGTCCCTCTCTGGTCAAATTAAAAATAAATAAATAAATAAATAAAGTTAAATAAAATAATTAAAAAAGAAGAGAAAGAAAGGGCCCCCAGCTAGATGAGACTCTGCACCTAGGGAGTGCAAGAGTCTACATTTTCTCAAAGCTCCTGAGAGCACACAGATGTAGCCAATTCCCAGCTCCGCCTTTGGAAACCAGAGCTCCAACAGCTGTCCCCTCTCCCTTCCTCTGAGAAAGGCGGGCAGCGCTTCCTCCCCTTTTTGTCCTTCTGGAGAGGAAACGGCACAGCTGTCCTGGAAAGCTTTGGCCTCCAAGGCCTCCCACGGGATAACAGGAGACACGTGGAGGGCTCTTGCACCATCTCCTCTGCCACCCAGGTTTCCCAAGCTGAACTTGCAGAGGCCAGTGGCCCAGGTCACAGACGGCGCCAGGCACCAGACAGTCTCAGAAGTCAGCAGTTTGCTATGGAGGTAGGGCAGTGCTGGGAAAGCAAGAGGAGGGAGCGAAGAATTTTGTTTATTTGTCCATTTAAAAACGCTCCTGAAGGGACCAGGAGTTGGCGTAATGGCTATGTTGTTGGACTCCCCCGTAGTCGACCGGGGCTCGAGTCCCGGATCCAGTGGCTTAAACTCACGCTGGGCGCGTGTGCGTGCGTGCCCAAGATCCCGAGAGGAGAATGAACAAAAAGGGATTGCAGCATGGCCATCCCCCTGGGGGGTGAGTTCTCACTTTCTCCCTGTCTCTCTCCATCTTTCCGTCGAGTGCATGCACCCTATAGCAAAAACCTCTCAAAAAAAAAATACAAAAACAAAAACAAAACAAAAGCTCATGGAGCCCTTCTTTGTGACAGACGTTGTGCCAGGGACACAGCAGTGAGCAGAGCAGCCCACAGCCCTTCGCCCATGCCTCATGATTGTCAATGCGCACGGAGCTCGCCCCACCAGGAGCAATTCCAACTGCTCACAGCACACGAGCCCACCTGGTCCTCCCAATGACCTATGCTAGAGGCATTCCTATTAGCCCCATTTACAGGCGAAGAAGTGGAGGCCCAGAGAGGTTAAGCAAACTTGACAAGATCACACAGCTAAGAATTTGACCAGAAGCTCCAAAGCTTATTCACTGTGCCAAGCTCTTATGGCTATGTACTCCTCCAAATGCCCCTACATAGCAGATGAGAACACAGAGCTGAGTCTGATGAACAAGCCACCACCAGGAGAGAGGAGAGCTGGGATGGGACCTCCAGGTCAGCTCTAGGGTCTCTCTGGCCCTTTATGTCCCTGAAGATGGGTGCTCTCCAGTTATTCTGAGCATCCCGGGGCTTATGTTCCTGCCCAGGGATGACAATACACGCACCAGGGTGGAAAGGAGGATGTAAAAATAACAGATACAAGACTTCTTGTGTCTCAATAGATCATCAAAAGCTACTTTCCTCTGAAACTGTCCTCGGGATAATTCACATCGGCATGTGGGGAACGGAAAGCTGAATTTCCAACAAGAGCCATTAGACCAAGAAATGAGGAATGGACCTGACTCTGGACTCTGACCCTGTGCGGTGCCCTGCCAGGGGGCTAGGCGTGGTATGATGGCTGAGGAGGCAGGAGAGCTGGTTCCCAACCCTGCCAGCAGCACTTCATGAAGTCAGCTAACTTCTGAGCCTTGCTTTCTTATCTGTAAACCCGTAAGGGTCTTGGGTTAGAAGATGCCAGGGAGACTTCTCAATGAGTTCCTACCCCAGTACCTAAGAAAAAGGTGCAGCTGGAATCCCAGGTTCTCCACACAGGGCAGTCTCCTTGCCAGGTCTACCAGGAGAGGCTGAGGACAATAAGGCCTCCTGGGACCTGTTCCCCAGATTCCCACAAGGGGGCAGTACTCACCATCCAACCCTGCACCTGCCTTCCCCCTGGCCACCACCAAGGCCCCCACTCCAACTGATAAATGGCTGTGATCTGGGTGACAAAAGCCACCTTTGTTCCCACAAACTGGACTGGCAGGTTTCCACACCCAATCTGGTCAACCAGGAAATACTCCAATCCTCAGGGCACCAGACATCCCAGGCAGCCCAAGAACTGGGAACAAGGTCTGCCAAGAGGGAGGGAGGGCCTGCACATGGGTCGCAGAGATGTGGGACAACCATGGGGCTGGCTCATGGGAGAGGTACGTGTCCCTGCCATGTCAGGAAAGGGGGAACCCGCGGTGGGAGGACTTGTCACTTAGGTTCTGGATAGCCTGGGCATAAAGGGGACATTTCCTTTTGAAAGTCAGCATGGCATAACAGAAGCCTTTACAGGGTCAGGGAATCCTAGTTTCAGCCCAGCTCAGCACTGACTTGCTCTGTGCATTGGTAAAGCCACCCGGCCTCTCTGAGCCTCTGGGGTCATCACAGCTGAAAATAAGGCACCTTACATGCTTGTCTCAGGGAGCCCCCATGAGAATTTAGGATCTAGTAACATACCAAGTACATAGCTGAACCCTAAGCAAATGTGGGTGACTGTGAACACCTTTATTTCTCGATTGTAAAAGGTCTTGGACTTAACCGTCTCTTCCTGCTTTCATATTCCAATTTTCTCAGGTTCTTGAGAACATGGGTATCATGAAGTATCATGCTCAGTGCTGGGCAGTACCTGGGAGCTTGAGTTGGCAAAATCTGGTCACACCTTCTCCCTTTATTGGTTAAAATGAAAACTCTGGAGAACAGTCCATGTCATCAGTCACACCCTGCTGGGGCCCCAGCTATGTATGCCTGAGCCCTTCTGAGAACAACAGCTCAAGGGCAGGCATGCTTTCCACCTTCATCCTCCAGGTACTGCCACTTAGCCAAAGCTATCTGGCCTCACACTTGTTGGCCAGTCAGAAGATGTTCTCCTCCCCACTCCATTGGGCTCCCAGTTATGCAGGGTCCAAGTTTGGATTTCCACCCCTGAAATATAATACTAAGAAGGAGAAGGGCTAGTGAGGTGGCAGAGGAAGGGGTTGTAGGAGGCAGAATCTTTGCAGACACCAGGATGAGAAGCAGTGTTTTTCAGTTACCACCAACCCAGGAGTCCTTGGGTAGGACAATGGTCTTGTCTCTAAGGCAACCGAGGCCTGGCTGGAAGGCCTAGCTGGAGATAGTGAAGCCTCAGCTCTAGAGGAGAGGGTCAGGGGCGACTCCCGCCCTCCACCACACAGCCTCCCCCACTCCTCTTTAGAAACCCCCTGCTTGTATCTCTGAATAATTCACAGGATCTTTTGTTCCCCCCAAACCTTTCTCCTCATCCCACTTCTCCCGCCCTCCTGTCTTCCTTTTTTCCGTGGGAAAGTTGCTGGAAGAGGTCATGGGCAGAGAGAGGAGGGGGAGGGGCCTTGTGACAGAAGGTCGATGGGAGATCCAGACAAAGGGAATAAACACGCTAATTAAATGACCAAGAACGGCTGGAGAAGATGGCAGTGGGGGTGAGGGATGTGGTAAGAGGTGAAAAGGAAAGGACTGGGCAATAGAGAGGGGTGGGCAGGGGCCTCCCTTGTCAGGAAAACAGAACGGAGGAAAAAATAAAACAAAAACTTGTTTCTATAGCCTTTTGAAACTGCATGGCTTGGCCCTCCACCCATACTGGAGCTCCAATGCTATTGGTGTGTACAGAGAATAAAGAGGAGAGATAGAGAGCTGCCAACTTCCTCAATGAGACACAGAGATCTGGGAGCTTCTCTCTCCCTCCCTCTCTCTCTCTCTCTAATGGCCTGAGGTCACTTGGCATTTGTCAAGGGCACCAGGGATGAGGTAGGGTAGATCCTGCTCACATTTGCCTTCAATTCAACAACTACATGGTGCATATTCAACAGCTTCCTGTTAACAATAATAGAACCAACAATAACAACAGCTAGTACTGATAGAACTCATTGTGCAAGCGCTGGACACTCCCACATGGTCAACCTCAATGAGACACAGAGATCTGGGAGCTTCTCTCTCCCTCCCTCTCTCTCTCTCTCTAATGGCCTGAGGTCACTTGGCATTTGTCAAGGGCACCAGGGATGAGGTAGGGTAGATCCTGCTCACATTTGCCTTCAATTCAACAACTACATGGTGCATATTCAACAGCTTCCTGTTAACAATAATAGAACCAACAATAACAACAGCTAGTACTGATAGAACTCATTGTGCAAAGTCTGTGCATTGAATAGCTCATTTCATCCTTATGTCAACCCTAGAAGGAAGGTACTGTTACTATCCCATTTTATAGATGAGAAAACAGAGGCAGAAGATGCAAAACTTTACCCAAGTCACATAGCAAGGAACTTGGTTTCAAGTCCAGGCAGCCAAGCTCCGGAGGCAGTGTTCTCATCACCATTCAAGCCTCCCTTCTCCATGCCGGCCATCTCGCTGCTGCGTGGCAGCGTGGAGAAATTAAATCCTGGTGTGTCTTAGTCACCTACTCCTCTCTCTCCATTATTTCTGCCAACTCAGAGAAAGTCATGAAAAATCTCATGCTTCTTCCCAGCATTTCACCAGCCATAAATTGTCTTCACATACAGTGAGGCAGAGCTGGGCTCATTGGCCAAAAGAACCGTGGTCAGGGGACTAAAATCTGGGTCCCAACCTCTACTCTGTAACACAGGAGCTGGGTGGCCCTCCTGGGGGAGTTAATTCCATTGCCAAATACTTGCATTGCAGAATAAGAAACTGGGACAGTCCCAGCACTGCATTTGGTAAACTGCCAGATGTGGCCTACCAAGTGGCAGAGGCAGGAGTAGAGGCCGGGCCTCGGGATTCTATTACTCCTCCCATTCTGTCATGTACCCTCCTTCTTTTCTCCTCCTGACAGTAGCTGCTGCTGCTGCTTCTTCTTTCTTTCTTTTTTTTTTTTTTAAATTTTTGCCATAGAGCCTGTGCGCTTGCTGGAGGGAGACAGAGAGAAAAAATGAGAAATCTCTCCCCAGGGAGAAAGGCCATGCCACCATCCCTTCTCTTCCATTCTCTCCTCAGGATTTTGGGCACGCACACACATGCCAGTGTGTTTTTCAAACCATTGGTCCAGGACTCGAACCACAGAGTCAGCCATGTGGGATCTAGCACTTTAGCTACCATGCCTACTGCTGGCCCAACATTGAACTTGTATGCAGAGATTCTGCTAGATATTGATGGCACTTCTTCCAGGCAGCCTAGATTATCATACCCAACTCTAAAACCACTCTGACCAACTGGGGCACAGGGGCTGCAGGTAGAGCTGGGCTCCCCTGGAGAAAGGGAAGATTGGGTAGATGCCAGGGGCTGACAAGAAACCAGGGGTTGGCAGGAACTGTGTGAACCTGGGTCTCTCCCACTTTACAAACAAGAAGATCATAAAAAACAACAGAACCTACAATGTCACCAGGTTGTCACAGGAATAACTGACTTGAGGCATGGAAAGTGCCTGGCACATTAGACTCATTAAGTGCAGGCTGTAGTCTAATCTGGAATCACCCCTCCAGCTTCCAGAGACACCAAAACAAAGAGACTAACCCTCCTTTGACACCTGCTATAGGGGAACTGCTCCAGGGACTTGGTGGAAACTCCTGCTGCAGAGTTAGAATCTGGGCTAGAACCAGATGGTGGGGGAGCAGTAAAAATGCAACTTCCTATGAAGCAATTCTAAATGGGAAGGTTCTCAGTTCAAGCCCAGAGATCTTTCTCAGTTCATAGGGCTCATGTATGTGTCCCTAACCTGGGGTAGCTGAAAGGCTGGGGTTGGACCGTGGCATCCAAACTGTGTTGGAGCTGCTGCCTCTCTCTCTCTCTTTTCTCTCTCTCCTTACCCATGGAAGAAATAAATAAACTTTACTTTAAAAGAGAAAAAGGAATGTGAGCTCTAGTGCCAGACTTCCTAGAATTTACACCCTAGTGTGGGCCAATAATTCATGATGTGCTCTGGAGCAAGTGAACCTCTACTTTCTTCACCTGTAAAATGGAATAATAATGCCTAATTTGTAGAGCTGTTAAGAGGATTGAGATGAGAAGGCCCCCAAACTGGAACATAGTGGGAGCTCAGTTAATGTGCCCTACTATTACTTGGCATGCATGATCTCCTTTAATCCTGTCAGCCATGCTAGCATGAGTATTAAAGCCAGGATTTACAGATGAGGATCTTAGGACTTCCAATGTCAAGATCTTGCCCCAAATGTGTGGCCAGTAAGAGGAAGGCCTAGAATCTGGATCTGTTGGAGCCCTAAGGTCAAACCTTCCTCACTCCCACACCTTGCTGCGTCTGGCCTACAACAGCCTCTGCTCTGGATGCCCAGGAGCTTAAGCATTTCCAGCCCTCCCTCCTCCAGCCCAGAAAGTCTGCTGTAGTCCATCTCTGACATAGTAAACGCTCCCAGGTAGCCGTGGAAGCACCTACCCAGAGGCGATCAGCACCCGGGACTGGGCGATGGCCAGCCGCTGCAGGTTGGTACGACTCAAGGTAGCCAGCGCCACCCTTCCGGTCTTGCCGTTGGCTCCCGGGGGACTGGCAGGAGACCCTGCAGTTGCCCCAGCCGGTGTGCTGGAGGCTTGTCTCCGGATCACCTGCGTCGGGGCGGGCTTCACCGGGCCTCCTCGGATGGTGCCTGTGCTGTCCAGCTGCGTGGCTGCAGAGCCTGGTGGTGCGGGCAGCTTGACCACTCCAGAGGAGGGCACGTTCTTGCGGGCTGCGGGGGGCTGCAGAGGCCCTGTGCTGCCGTTGACCACAGCTGCCTTAACGCTCATCACCAAGACACACTGCGGGCAGGAGCAGGGTGGTGCAGGGGGCGAGGCGGCGGCCGCAGGACTGACTGGCCAGGATTGCGCCTTCGGCAAGGTGCCAGTGACCATGGGGTAGATGAGGTCCAGTCGTCGGCGCACGCGGCGCTGGCGCTGGGTCTGCCGGTTGATCTGGCCCATGGTGCTGAAGTCGATGACGTAGCTAAAGCCGATGGAAGTGAGGTCGATCCAGGGGTGCTGCTTCTCGTAGGCATGCTGGATAGTGATGCTCACCTCCATGTCGTAGGGTGTCCAGGAGCCATTGTCGTTCTCCCACTCCCACACCACGCCCTTCCCAGGGGCCGAGGACGGGTCATAGTAGTTGCGGCGAACTGGGCGGAGGGTCCCTGCCGAGTGGGACAGAGGAGAGGTCAAGGTCGGTGTGGATTTACACTGCATTGTGTTACCTAATAGGCAATCATTACATTCCTCCTTCCGTGTGCTGGGCACTATGCTACCTGCTGAGGAGTCAGCTTTGAATGAGACTCATTCCTGCCTTCAAGGAGTCTGCTTTCAGACCAGGCTGGAAGCAGGTCGGGTACAACCTGAGATTGAGGCACGAAGGGAGAGGAGATGCAGGAAGAGCACGAAGGGAGAGGAGATGCAGGAAGACCGTCCCCTGGTGGAGAGTCAGGCCAAATTAATTCACTTCCTAGTGACCACAGACCCTGTCAGCCTCCCTTTCTCTCCTGGGAACCAGGCTAACTCCTTCCCAGGATTTTTGTGAAAATTAAATGTGACTCACTTATTCATTCAACAAACACGTATTTGTACATGCCCGATAATAGATTCCGTGCGTGCACCCTATAGTGTGCAGTAGGCATATAAAGCCCTTCACAGCAACAGGGGCTCCAGAGGACAGGAACACAGGGTTGTGGAAGCCCAGAGCAGAGAGCACAGACTGCCTCCACTGGGAAGGCTGCCCAGAGGCAGTGGTCATGGAGAGCCTGTCTCGACAGGTGTAGTAAAATAAATAAATAAATAAATAAAGATGACAAGTTCATATGAGAAGGAAAATCAGGTTGAGAGTGTTCATCATATGTCACAATACTAAATCATATGTCAACCACAATAGCATTCGCAATGGTCATGAGAATCATTTTACATGTCACAATACTAAATCATATGTCAACCACAATATTATTTGCAATGGTCATGAGAATCATTTTACATATATCTAACATCTTTCTTGTAAGAAGCTCAATCTCTCCTAAAGATAAGATTGTCTTAGTTTTGACAGTCTAACTGTAAAGCAGGGAAGAGGCCAGGGTTATTACAAGGCGGTATAGAAAAAAATGAGCTAAGAGGACTGGGAAACCAAGCTTGTAACTGTTGCCCTGGTCTCTTCTACCTACCCCAAACCTGAATCCAGACTCATCCCTAACCACGGCTCATTTCATGGTTATCCACATCAAGGCTCAAGAAGCCTGGCTCCCGGCAAGATGGGAAGGCTCAGGAGGGCTCCAGGGGTGCTGGGTCTCTGCATCTGTCAGCTTAAGCTCCATCCATCAAAGTGGTGGGAAAAGGCTCCCCTTCTCCGGCCTCTGACCCACCCCCTCCTCCAACCAAGAGGCAGACACCAAGACTGGGGACAGAATCCCATTCAAGAGGGGAAGAAAAGGAACAATGGCTATTCAGGCCTTTGCCAGGGTCATAACCCGCCCCCCACCCCATCTCCAAGCCCCTTAATGACCCAAAACATCAACATTCAGAGGCAGAAGGGAGAGGCAGAACAATTCCCTATTCAGCACCAGGGCCTCTGCTGGGGGACATGGGGTATCGGAATGGGAGGAGGAGAGGGGAGTGGGCAGTAATTCTCTGGTTAGCCTCCATTTCCTTCCTAAGCAGGCAGCTTGCTGGAGAACAAAGAGCTAAGTTCAATCTTTGGGTCCAGCAGGTTCCATCACTTTGAGCTGAGTGATTAAGCCTCAGTTTCCTCATCTGTGTGTGTGTGTCCTGGGTAGCTACTTCAAAGAGTGGATTTGAGGATTAAATGATGAATGAATATAAAACTGCAAAATAGCACCTGTCCCATGGAAAGTACTCAAAGAGTTAGTGATTATTATTGTAATCTAGTTTCTCTTAGCTGTCTAAGTAGGATGGAAAAGTCACAGAGAAAGTTTCGTTCAGGACATGCAGGGTGTGTGTGTGTGTGTGTGTGGTAAGTAGGAGAGAAGAGTTTCTATGAAATTCATATTTGAGCAATATTTATTTCTTACAAAGCACTTCACACATCCTGTATAATCTTCGTGGCAATCCTGTGAAACATATTTCGCAGTTGAAAGCATTAAGTTTAGAGAGATTCAATGTCACTCTCTTATATTCTCTCCAAGAAAGCAGGGACAATACACTTAACCACTTCACATAACTGTGCTTAAAAGACATTTCTTTTTTTTTGGGGGGGGGGAGAGGTTTTTGCTATAGGGCGTGTGCGCTCGCCAGAAAGACAGAAAGAGACAGAGAGACAGAAAGCAAGAAATCACCCCCCAGGGAGGATGGCCACACCGCAATCCCTTCTCCTCCATTCTCCTCTCGGGATCTTGGGCACACACGCACATGCGCCCGGTGTGAGTTTAAAGCTCCAGGTCCGGGTTTTTGGGGGGGGGGAGAGGTTTTTGCTATAGGGCGTGTGCGCTCGCCAGAAAGACAGAAAGAGACAGAGAGACAGAAAGCAAGAAATCACCCCCCAGGGAGGATGGCCACACCGCAATCCCTTCTCCTCCATTCTCCTCTCGGGATCTTGGGCACACACGCACATGCGCCCAGTGTGAGTTTAAAGCTCCAGGTCCGGGACACAGTTAACTACATGGGAGTCCAGTGACATAGCCATAACGCTAACTGCTGGTCCCAAAGACATGGTTTTTACACTAGTTACTGTCAATCCTGGAGATACCTAAGAGTTGTCCTGGGACTCCTGGGAACTGTGTCATGGCTCTGTAACACACCTTTGCAGATTTCTTTTCCTCAATTCCCTGTCCTTTCCTCCACTCCCTGTGAAACAGAACATTTATCCTCATGCATTCTCTGAGAGTTCCTTTCCCCCTCTCCTTGCCAGTTCCCTTCTGAAATACTGAACTTTGCAACTTTTGCCTGGTAAAATTCTCCTTATCGTTCAGGTGCCATTTGCTACCCATTTTTTTGAAATGTTCTCCCAGCCCAGGCCCCATGGGCAGTGTAGGGTGCATATCTTGACTATGCCAGATGTACACTGAGGTTTGAACACCTTTCATGAGGTGCCTTAAGTGGGTCAGGGATACCACTACGTAGCTCCTTGCATTCTAGTGCCTGGTGTGGTGTCTGGCAGTTACAAGGACTTGATAAACTGTGCTGTAATTTATTCAAGACTTCTGACTACTTTGACATTTAATCATTTATCATTGCTGAGTACCTGTCTAGCTGCTGTGAGACATGCAAATAGTCAAGCATTCCTCAAGTAGCTTACAGTTTAAAACAGAGTTAGAAGACAAGCATGTGAGTGACTATGAGTCAGAATGCGCCACAAGAGAGATGATAACAAAATTCAAGTCGGCAGGAAATCTGATTACACCGCTTCCCTGCCGAAATCCCTTCCAACTTCCCCTTATGTCAGGACCAAAATCCCCTCCACTTACCAACCTCCGTGAACCCTTTGCACCTAGCGCACCTGCCCACATTTCCTGCCCACATTTCCAACACACCAGCGTTCTTTCCCCATCGATCTTTCCCCATCGTCAGGTTTCTCTGGTTCCAGACGTCTTAGAAAGGTTGATCCCTCCCCCAGACACTGTGGCATCCTCTTCACTGCTCATCCTTCAGATTAAAGATCATTTCGTCAAGGGAGACACTTTGGGCTGCCCTGACCAGGTCAAACTCATGTTCCTTTTTTTTTTTTAAATACTTTTATCTTGATGTGCAATTACACACATGTTTGCATGGTTAATTTAGTATGTATTTGTCTCCCTCACTAGACTCTCAATCCCATAAGAACAGGCATCAGGGTGTTTGTTTGTGGCCGTTTTTCCCATGCATGGCATGTCCTAGGGGATATTGATTGAGTAAGTGAAATAATGTCAATTTGGAGAGCATTTTGTGAAATGGGTAACAAATGCTTAGGACCTGGATGACAGAGAATTTCAGCAGGCAAAAGTGGCAAAGGACAATATTTCAGTAGAAACTCATGAAAAGTTAGGGGAAAGATGTCAAGGAATTCCAAGGCAATACAAGAAGATAAAAGGGCCTCTGTCTGGCAGGAACAGAGGAAAATATAAGGCATAGAAGAAAGGTACGTTATAGACAAGTATTACAGGCACAGAGGCCTGGATGCCACGCTGCCATGCTTTAGTTCGTTGGCAATGAGGAGCCAGAGAAGTTTGTTAAGCGAAGTGATGAGATACAGAAGTGCTCTGTTAATTAGTTCCGGGTAAATGCAAGTGTTGGCAGTGAAAACGATCAAGACAAGACTGGCTCTAGAGAGACCCTGCAGAGGTGAAATGAGTAGGACTTGACTACGGGCAGCTGAATGCTTTCTAAATAAAGTTCCAGGACTACCTCCTTCAAAATCTCCCGGGCTACAGATAAACAATTCCCTTGGGATTTATGGGTCAGCATCTCTAGTGAGTGGGCCTGGGAATCTGATAAGAATGACCACCCAGAGTTTCTAGCATGTACTCCCAAATTTCAACAGTGCTGGGCCATATGGTCTAGTGCCTCTACATACCAGGCACCTAAAACAGACGCTGAATGATGGAATGAGTCCCAGAATCCTGAGGCTTTGACCTCAGAAAAGTAGTAAAATGGAGCCACCAATCAGGCACAGGGGTGTCAGGAGGAAGAGCTGGATTTTGGAGGGAAAGTTGTTGAGTTTGTTTTAGTCCTCGAGAGTAGTTACAGACAGTAAGACATCAGAACCAAAGTTCAGGACAAGCGAGAGTTTTCATTCTCTGATTATTTTTTAAATGTACTAGCTAGCCCCGGACTTCTCTAGAATCAAGACCATTTAGTTAGATAATCTGAGGTAATGTCATCTTATTCTAAGGTACAGTGACCCAAGGAAAGGGTTCTAATAGGATAGGGATAGAGGGGGTTTTATGAACTGTAAAGAAAGAAAGAGAAGGAAAATGGGCTTTTTCCTAACCACTTAGACACCAGCATTCCAAAGTACTCAAAATGTTTTGGCTCCTGGGAAATGGGAGGCAATGCCTTCTATTCATGACCTGAGGTCTCTAGGGCGTGTCACTCACATCTATGCAAGGGACTCACTGCTGTTAGAGCATGCACCGTGTGTCCAAAAGATTCCAGGCCTCTCTTACTAGTGTTTCCCACCCTCACTAGAATGCTCCACAGACTTGCATGTTCTGTTATTGCCATTTCTACATGCCTGCAACAGTGCCTGTATGATATAATGGTTCTACAGCCATTCACCGACTGAAGGAGTAGGACATGGGACATGTGACTCAAAACCTCCACTCTGCTATTGACTAGTCATAACCCCCAACCAACTCGAACTCTCAACTTGTTTCTTCCTTATAAAATGGGAATAAAAATAGGCTCTTCCTAAGACCGTCCTGAGGATTAAAAAAGATAATGTGTGCAAGGTGCTTGGCGCAATGCAGACGCGGTGCATCTCCCATACTGGAACTACCATACGGTCGTCACGGGGTCTGCCTAGTCCACTTCCATGCTCACACAGGGTAGCGGAGCCTAAAAATCAGCTCAATCCTTAAGTCAAACCCACTGTCTACCTTAAAGACAAAAAGGAAACAAAACTTGCACAGAATACTCTGGGCTGGAAAGAACCCTTGGTCACAGCATATTGCTGCGTCTTAACATCATCACAGGTGCAGGGACCAAAGCCATTCACCTGCTGATCTGAGTGATGGAAGGAAAGAAAAAAAGGAAGCAGAGAGTCCTGGAACTGCTCTTCTACAGAGGAAAATGAGGCCCAAGCAATTAAAGGTCTTGTTCAAAGTCACATAATAACCAGCGAGTCTGAGACGACACCTCCAGTCATGTCTCCCATTCCTAGTCTGGATCTTCCCCATTCTGCTCCTGGGGCCCTGCAGTTGGCCAAATTGGGAGTGTTGGAAGAGGTCCGGGAAAGTGATACTCTCTAGCCACCTTTCTACAACAGGAAAAAAGGCAGCCCCTTCCTCTCTAGCTCACCGTTCCCATCCCTTCTTCCAGACTTTCTAGCCCCAAAGGCTTAGAGATCAACACAGAATGCAAATGAGTTCACACCCCTCGCGGACTGATAAAGAAGGGCCCAGGGCAAACATTGGCGGCCAGAAGGGTGTCTGCAACCTCCCAGCCATCTCCCTGGAGACAGACTAGATGAGGCCAGGAGCCCAGGGAAGTGGAGAGACCGAGGACCTGCTCAGAGCGAGGCAGGCAACTTCTACAAAGACAAACACCCACATGGGGAATGTCCCCAGACAGAGCCCCCACATAGAAGAGGCAACAAATAAAAGAGAGGAATCGCCTCTGGGCAGGGGACTTCCAGCTCTCTTTTGTTTATAGGAATGTTTCTGGTTCCCAGCTTTAAACTATGGCTTGGGATGGTGGGAAATTTAATTAAACATTGCCAGGGCTTGGCTAAGGTTGCCTGGGAGCTGGTGGCTTAGCGTTCTTACCCTGTTACAGCCTCATCATTGAGCTACAGTGAGAGGAACTGAGTGTGTCTTGGTGAAGAAGGTGGAGGCTCAGAGCTCTCAAAGTCCTGGAACTCAGACTCTATTCTATTCTGACAAGCTCCTTGACAGGCCCGTGGTCCTGAAAATGCAGCCCTGTACCTTTAGCATCCAGGACAGGGCCAGGTTCAGAGAAGGGGGCTTGCTCAGAGGAGAGAGGTAACCAACTGACTGTAGGAAAGTGGATGGAACCAAAACAGTCTGAGTGAAAAACACACCCTGAAGCTATCTTTAAAATGATCCAGAGCTGGTTCTCTATCTCCATCTCAAAATCCAGAGAGCCCCAGGCTCTTACTAAACTGCCAACCACCGGGCAGTAGGTTAGCCTATCCTCATGGTAAGTGTGATCAAGACCATGGGGAAGGAGCTTCTTTCAGTCCAGTTTGCTCTATAACTTTGCTGCTGTCAAATAGTTCTGCAGGTCAGGACTCATCCTAGGTACCCCCAAAGACTATAACTTTGCCCCTCTCAAATGTGAGAGAGGTTTGGACCTTCCTAACACCTGAGTGGCTCTCCATACGCTGCAAAGATTTAGTCCAAACTAAAAAAGCTAAAACCTAATCGTTTTTGTTTTTTGGTTTCTTTTTTTGTGTTTGTTTCAATTTTGAGTGAGACTTGAATTCCCTGCCAGGTTCCTTAGCTGCTAGTCTCCCTGGTCCCACCTTCGGGGCTCAGGTCTCCAACATAAAAGCACCCTCCACTCTTGCCCATCTGATGTCTCTACCCTCCCTTCCACAATCTATCCCTTCCACAAGCTGTACAATTAATTACAATCTCTCCCTCCCTTCCAGCCACGCTCAGTCCTCATTTTCAATCTTCCAACTTTCTTCCTTATTCTGTCATCCTCCCAGTCCCTCTCGCTCCAAGTCCCTCCCTTCTCCACCAAGGGTTAAGCTCCTCCAGATGCTAATATTACCAGAATCCTTTCCCCCAGAAAGCTTTACTCAATCACCCAGTGTCTGCAGAGTCAAAGAGGTTGTTGGGAGTCATGACTAAGATGGGGGTTTGAAAGTGGAAAGATACCCCTTTCCCATGACAATCCAAATTAGCACACAGGATGTGGGGGCTTTCCAAGGAAGCTGAGATGCCCTGCTCAAACAGCTGTTCTCTGAGCCATGGAGCCGCCTCATCATCTTCTCAGCACTCCCCTCACTACACCTGCTCTCCAGCCTCCTTGGTTACACTCATGGGACAGCCAGCCAGAATTCCAGACCTCACCCCCTCACCCCGCGTCACTGAGACATTACTGGGGAGATGGAGACTTGTCCCAGGTCATCAGTTAAGCCTGGATACGCTGAACCGAGCAAAAGAGGTGCAGCCATGTCCTTCTCCTCCCTCCTGCAATAGCCCGTCCCCCCACCCTCACCCCCCTGACCTCCACTCTGCAAGCTCCCTTACTTTTTCCCTCCTGGAAAGGCTGGTTAGCTGGGAAGTCAGGGTGAGGCTATAGAGTCAACTTTAGTCTCATGAAAAGATAGGAGTTCAGCCCTCTGGGAAGGCAGTGTCCATCATAGTTTGAGGAGGAAGCTGGCTAGGGGACAGTTTCTCCTTAGGAATGTGCCTCCTCCTCCTCCAGGGACAAAGGGAGGGCCTTCCCTGCCAGGCATTCCAGAGCTGCAGCCCTCCCCGCCTCTCTCCATCTGCTCTGGCCTGTTGCTTCAGTGCTTGGAGTGATCAAGCAGAGGCATTTGCCCATGCCACAGCATCCAGGCTTTCTCATCTCTTAAAACCCCCCAACTCCATCTCTCATCCTCAAGAGGACCCAGCCTCTCCCATGCTAGACTGTAGCTACAGCTTCCGGAGTATCTCTTATCTCCCCTCCCCTCCTCCCTCCCTGTTCCCAAACCCTGGACCCAACTGCGGGAAAGCATCCCACATAGGAGGGGCAAAGGCAGTAAGTCTGGGGGTGCGGGGAATACAGGCAGTTCCAAGCGTGCCCGAGGCATAGCAGGGTCAGTCGAGGTGTTAAGCAGCCGGGAAGGGGATGAGGATAGGAAGCTCTTCCTGGAGAGAGGCTGGGATTGCGAGTGGTCTGGCGCGGCCCCATAATTTCTGTGGAAGGATTTAACAACACAAGCGCTGAAAATGGGGCGTGAAAGGCTGGTTTTCACCCGCTAGGTTGAAGCTGGGTTTGCATAACCACAACACCAATACTACAATATTTGCATAGACGTTTATTTGGGGTCAGGGATCTGGAATCCTAAAAGAATTAAGGGGTGAGCCTCGACCATCACCTCTTGGCACTGAAGCGCCCACTGGGTGGGTCAAGGTGGGCTCCCGAGGCGGGAGACCCCAGGGCAGGCAGGGGTGGCTCACCTGTGTCTTGGCGGAACTGGTTCATGGACTGCAGGTCGATGATGTAGGGCGCCAGACGGCTGTCCACCTGGCCCAGCACTACGCTGCCCCCTGCGCGGGGACCAGCGCGGACCACCGCCTCGATGTGGTGGCTCACGGCCGGGCTGTAGGGACGCCAGCGGCCGTGCTCGTTCAGCCATTCCCAGACCACCACTGCCGAGGCCAGGAGCATGGCGAG